CAAGCAGGACATTTTTGTGTTATTAAGTAATAAGCCTTTAGAACAACATTAAGGTGAGTAGTCACTCTAGTTCACACAGTTCCAATAAATTGCGATGGGTTAAATAAACTCAATAAGCAGACAGACGCGACTAGTCAAGCGCAGAAGTGCACAGGAAATTAGCAGCAGTCATATTTAAAGCAGTTTAAATTAATATTGAGTACTGATTGAAGTTCGCTTGGATTTTTTTCCCCATCGAGGGGGAATAACTTAATACTCTGTCATTTATAGTCGTATGGTAAAATGTATATTTTTAATTGTGTAACGTTACGTTCAAAATAACTACAAAATGTCATGCCTTTGAAAAATAAAGAGAGTATCTTTCGGTCTCCTTGAGCATCTTTCTGGCGCATGTGAAAGGGGTGTTTAATTCCCGCCCACATGTAGAAATCGAATATTCAAGCTGTTTATTCATTTTTCCACCCATGAACGAAAAACAAAAATTTAAGCCGTTTTCTCATTTTTCTACTTTCAATATTAAAAAAACGAATGATCGAATGATACACGGATTCTTGACAACTAGCTTAACTTTAAGATTAATTTTTTGTAATTTATTTTATTTCAGTTAATGAAAGTAAATAAAAAAGTGAATAGCCCTGTGTGTGTGTGTGTGTGTGCAGGAGTGAAGATCATCACGCAGCAGATGCACCCCAGTAAGATCTTACCCAAACCCTCCAGCGCCGCGCTGGCCAGCAGTAGCTCCGCCCCCATCATGGTGGTCAGCAGCAACGGCGCCATCATGACCACTAAACTGGTGTCCACTCCCACAGGTACCACAGACGTGTGTTACAGCACATGCATGAACAGAGACGTGCATGTTGTTTTGTTAGAAATAAATATGTAGGTTTCAAAAATCTGGACAATGGGTTTAATGCTAAAAATTCTCAGATTATATGTACTTATAAAGTTCATATAAGTACATAATATATAACATATAACATAATCATATATATATAACGTTTCTCATCAATATTAACACTTTTTTTTTTTAAAGAATTGCTAATTTTTTAATTGATAAAAAAGGGGTAAATGCAGTAAAGCATGGTAATAATATGTGACATTCAAAACTTTCACATTCACTCAATAATGAGAAGTTGCTGATCAGATACAATGTGGTTTTAGCCGAAAAAAAATTAAGCTATGACTTTTTTTGTATAAAATAACAATTCTTCTGGTCCAAAATGGATTTTATAAAACGGAGAGTTCCGGTGCTTGATTCTGATTGGCTGAGCTGCGTTCGAAGCTGTTGTAAATTACGCTACAAAGTAACATACACCTTTGTTTACGTTTGTGTGTTGCTCGGCAACCACTTTGTTGCAACCACAACTGTTTCTGAGGAGCTACATTGTTTGGTGGAAGAATACTGTTTTTATTAATATCATTACACTTTATTTGCTCTGTTTTATTTTGTGAAACCTTACTACATATATGGAATAATAAAGCAATAAACCCCGTGAAGCCGTGGTTTACAGTGAATTTATAACAGCTAAGCTAACAACGCCCCTTAGGTGTTATAAACTCACTTATTAAGGGCTTATTGCTTTAATGTGAGTTTGTCATTGTGCTGTTTTATTGTTATAAGAAAAATAATGAATCCACATTTTCAAGCATTGGTTTTGTTCAAAGAAAGGGAAAGATGTACAGATCTAACAGATCCTGAGCGTCATTGACTAATATCTGATCTTGTCGGTCAAGTTTATGAATCGCTGAACCTGTGACGTGTGTTTTAGGCTCTCAGGCGTCGTACACGCGTCCATCCGTCAGTCCTGCGATCGGCACGCGTGTGGCCACATCTCCCGCCGGAGCCACGTACGTCAAAACCACCAGCGGCAGCATCATCACCGTCGTGCCCAAGTCTCTGGCCACGCTGGGAGGCAAGATCCTCACCACCAACATGGTGTCGGGTAAGAGCTGGAAACAGCAGCGTGCCGCTGACTGCAGCGAGTCCCGCCTCTCATTCTGACGCTCTGCCTTCACAGGAACCACCACCAAGATCACCACCATCCCCATGACCTCCAAACCCAACGTCATCGTGGTGCAGAAGACCACCGGCAAAGGGACGACTATCCAGGGTCTGCCGGGGAAGAACGTGGTGACGACGCTGCTGAATGCAGGGGTGAGGTCACGTGACGCTGCTGCGCACCGTGCTGCTGTATGCGTGTGTGTCTGTCTGTGCCTGTGTGTGTGTGTCTGTGTCTGACTGTGTGTGTGTCTGTGTCTGTGTGTCTGTGTCTGACTGTGTGTGTGTGTGTGTGTCTGTCTGTGCCTGTGTGTGTGTGTGTTTTTTAAAGAATTCTCTTCTGCTCATCAAGCCTGCATTTATTTGATCAGAAGTACAGCAAAAGCAGTAAAATTTTGAAATATTTGAAAATACAGCTGCGCATCACAGAAATACATTACAGTTTAACAGATATTCACATAGAAAACAGCTGTTTTAATTAGTAAAAATATTTCACAATTTTACAGCTTTTGCTGTATTTTTGATCAAATAACTGCAGGCTTGGTGAGCAGAAGAGACTTCTTATGTATATTGTTATTTGATATATATTTTATTTCAAGGCGACATTTCTCATTTTTATTTAGTTAAAATTTATGTACTAAAATAACAAAAACTAAACTACATGAATACTAAATAAACTTGAACCAAATAACAATAAAACGAAATTAAAATGTAATAAACACTATGTAGACTTTAAAAAATAAATACATAATAAAATGTATATTACAAAATAAATGTATAATGTAAAATAAATATACTAAAACAACAAACACTAGGGCTGTCGCGATAACTGCAGTATTGTAATATCAACACAACTGCGATGTTCATGTGTTTTTGTTTTGTTTTTGTTTTCATGAGGCTACGCCCTTCTTGTTTTACTCTTAATGCATGTGTATTGAATGTTCAATAAGTTAATAATCAAATATGACCCTGGAGCACAAAAGCAGTGTTAAGTCGCTGGGGTATATTTGTAGCAATAGCCAACAATACATTGTATGGGTCAAAATTATACATTTTTCTTTTATGCCAAAAATCATTAGGATATTAAGTAAAGATCATGTTCCATGAAGATATTTTGTAAATTTCCTACCGTAAATATATCAAAACTTAATTTTTGATTAGTAATATGCATTGCTAAGAACTTCATTTGAACAACTTTAAAGATGATTTTCTCAATATTTAGATTTTTTTGCACCCTCAGATTCCAGATTTTCAAATAGTTGTATCTCGACCAAATATTGTCCTATCCTAACAAACCATACATCAATGGAAAGCTTGTTTATTCAGAAAATTTACCCTTATGACTGGTTTTGTGCTCCAGGGTCACATATCAAGAGTGAAGAGAGTAAACATAATGACTTTAATGATGGAAAAAAAACTACAATCCCATAAAGCATTCCAAATTGACATAAAATGATGGAGAAATATAGGCTAAATCTATTGATTTCATGATGTTATGTAAGTGTATTGCATCATTTTGTGGTGGTTTCTTCTCAGAGTCATGGGTAATGGAGTTTTCCACCAGGAATTCTGCTGTTAAACGTGATTATTTTCACACAAGATGAAATAATGCATGCTGACGGCTTCAACAGAAGCAAGTGCGATCGATTAACAATCACGTCGCTCACAGTCAGTCTGTCTTCAACGCTTTATGAGTTATTGTTACAGATGAGTTCTCCACTGGAGAAAATAAAGAGATTTTTACTCTGACTGCTGCGCTATAATCAATCATTAGTCAGAGAAGCAGCATTGTAGTGTTGTGATTATTCTAGATCTCTGGTTGGTGATGACTGCTAATGATCAGTAGGACTGGGTTTTGACACAGATTTCACGATTCGATTTGATTCTCATTCACAAGCTTGCGATTCTATTAGATTCAATATCGATTATTTTGGACATATATCAGGTACAGTATGCCAAATTTTCTCAAGGAAAAAAAATCTCAACTAATGCTGTAAAATATACATGGGAGTCAGTTGGTACTACATTACTATAATATTGAAGGTTAAAATTAATGAAGTTTTTACAATAATAAAGTTACAATTACATATTAATACTTCTACTTCAATTCGTTTTTAAAAATATATATAAACATTTAAATGGTGGCTGTCATAAAAACTTGATGGATTTATTCAAACATAAATTAAACATTGAAGAACAGTAAAAATTATAATGAATATGTTATATGGTGCATATATTTAGCAAAATGCCCTTCTCTACAGTTTATTTTTCTGGCTGACTAATGAGTTTATGGTCACCGAATATGTTTTTCTGAGGTAAATGTGATGTTACATTGTTTACAAGCCGTTATATTGACGTCTTTGCGCGGTTGAAACACTGATTG